TTTTTTTTTTTTTTTTTTTTTAAGTTTATTGGTGGGTTCCAGATTTTCGCACGCGAGTCTCCCATTTTTTTCTTCTTTCTTTTCTCCTCACTCCGGCCGACCTCGTGCTTGTTACTGCCAGGGAAATTCATGTGGCTGGCACAATACGCGTCACGTGTAATCTGCTTGAATTTTCTTCACAATGGACTTTCTCTCTTTCCTGTGTTAACATACCTGGCTGTCGTTGTTTGGAAATTCACTGGGCCATGGTGCTCGGACGTCGCTATCTCTTTATGCAAATCGAGCAAGGTCATAAGGGCACGTATACTCGTCCCCTTTTGACCTTTCGATAATAGATTTATAACGGACGTGGGCTAATTGCCAGCCAAACGGATCCTCTGTATACACGGCGTCGGACGGGGACTGATGGATTTTTTTATACGCCCCTGATACGTGTCCGTCTATCCATTGGTACGGCCCTGCTTCGTTTGCTGGGAACACGTGCAGTTCGCACGTTTCGTTCGAAGGTCATACAATGCCTTTTCCTACTTCCTTCGTACGACGATGCATCCAGTTTATGGTTAAAGTAGTGGATGGACTTTGCCATGCAAAAGTTTCTATGCGATCTTATACCTCTTTATCCCCATCTCCGGAACCGATGACTTTCGAAATTACGATTTTTAATTTATAATGAAATTTTAAGTTACACTCTTACCAGCATTGTTCCCGCGAATTATTGATCCTTCAAGGGACTCGCACGGGATGTGCAATCTCTTGAGATAACGCAGTGAATGGAACGATCGGTTTCTTTGAAATTGACCTGATTGAGCTACCTGTCGATCTTAGTATAGCATAATATACGCTCGTGTGTCAATATTTACAGATTTCCGTCACGACGTATCTCGTTTCACTCTGTTATCAATCCGTTTATCGCGAGGCATTTGAGTTACTGGTTCGGCTATCAATGGACACATTGATAATCAGATACAATTGTTTCATCACACAATATTTCATCGAATCCAAGTCACACCTGAAGTATCCAAAAGAGAGTCGATGAAATCATTAATTAAATTGTTATTCTAAATAAATTTTTTATCGAAATTTTTTTTTTCATATAAAATCAATAATCACTGTATCATGCGTTATTGTACGAAAATAATTTTTTCACCAAAATTTTTTTTCTACATTCAAATATAGAAAACAAGTGTATTCTCTTCTTTTTACAGTAATTAACGTTTACCGTAGAAAAACGATTTTACTTCTATTACGTTCCTCTTTTTTTTCACTCCCTTTCTCTCTCTCTCTCTCTTCTTCCCTCCCGTGTATTATCTCTCTCGGTTAGAAGCACCGAATTCCATTAGCTGGAAAAGCGAACGATGCCTCTTTACACATCGCCTGCGCGCTACATCCTCTCCATTCGCTCCGTGCGACAGTACGAATTTGAACACGAGTAAGCTCTCCGATCTGGTACAATGTACGGGTACTGGTAAAACGGGTAAAAAAAATTTGAAAACAAAAAATAAATTGTAACACCTACAAAATATGCAAATACCATCCCATGCCCCCGCCCAAGACATACAAAATTGATCGTCCCTCTTCTAACTTTCACGTTATACGCTTTATCATCGTTTTTTTTAGGGTTCTCAGTACGACTGATATATTAACGAAAATTATTTTTAATTGACCATCTCCCAATGCAGACGATACCTCATAGATTAACGCAGCGCCGAGTAGAATTAATATTTGAAAATTTTGATTGGTCGCTCGGGCTTCGCCTCTGTAGAAACTCCCGATAACTCTCCTGATTCTACTCTGGGGGCCAACGCGAGTTTTTATTAGCGCCCGACAGGGCGTGTAACCCTGGCGCAAAAGTTTGGTCAATTTGATAAGGGAAACGAAGTACGGAGCGGCAAGATCGAGAGAGACGTCACATCGGCAAGTAGGGCAAACTCCAAAGAAACATGGTTACCGGGTCTCGCTAGACTTTGAGAATTCTATCCATAATACGGGATTGCTCACGATATATTCTCAAAGTGCATTGAAAATCGTTATTACCTATTTTACAGGATCCATGAAAAAGTAATATTGATATTAAATTTATTATCTTCCATTACACCTTTTTATCCCATGCGTATGTATGTAAATTCTCGTAACGTATTTCAATTCCGTTACACTGTGTTACGAGTCTCGATGGACCGGCAGCATCTTTTTCCTCTTTTCCACCGTAATGTATATATAGTGCTTTGGATGAACTAGTTTTATTGGCGCAACCTATACATACGTATGAGGATATGAGTATCCCAGGGGAGTCGAAGCTCGCACGGGATTGGACTGAACGACGTATAGCAAAGTCAACACGAGGCTGGTTAAAAAATGAAAAGACCTGTACCGGGATCGTCCGTCGCGAGATTCCGCGATGTCTTCGAGAAGACAAAGGGACGCATTTATTTGGGTACACCCTGAAGCGGCGGCCATTTAATCTTATATATATATATATATATATATTTTCTTGATATTTATCAAGCCGCACTTTCACCGAACAGTTACCAAAGTTACGCCGTTAATTTGTTTTTCTTGACTCTAAGTAATCCCGGTGCTGCCTCTTCATTCCTTGGCTCTACACTCTCTTATGTGACTTACTTCAGGTCGCTCCTCGCTATCGAACTGCCAGGCGTCAGTTCCTTGCTCGAATTACTTCATGCGGCAGACGCAACAAGCTGCGGTAACTCGAGCAGTTTAGTCCTAGTGCTCACGAACCAATATAGGGTGTGTATATATATATATATATATATATATATATATATATATATATATATAGAGTATATAATCGTGTAGATATATATTGGGCACGTATTAAACACATTTACGTTAGGCACCTCGTGCGTGAGAGTTATTGATATGTCAGTCATCTCGCGTAACGGCGCGAAATGGCCGGGCTTTACCGAAGAGACATAACATCGTGCCCTGAATTTTGTTAAGTTTGAGTGACGGAGAAAGAGATAAAAAAGGCCATTCAGAATAGTATTTTATGATAAAATCTTATTACGTTAAATATCCATTTACGTGAACAAAGGCACGAGACGGGACACTGGCGCCCTCTAGCTTTGTCTCCTTAGACACTGGGTATACCACACTCGAATTCAGGGTATATATGGATCTTTTGATTTCGAGGGATATTGCGTATATATGTTGAGGGTGTGCACCTGCACTCGATACAGTTGAAATTAGGTCGTACCTACTCCGTCTTGAATTCGCAGGTCTCTAACGTTTATGCACCCGGGAAAATTCGATTTGAACCGTTCTGACGTAATGCCGACACTGTATTTCTGAGAGATGGAGTGCTTTGAAAAGCTGAATTCTTTAGGTGGCTGGATAAAAGAAAAACTATATCCCGTCCAGTATGTCTGCTGGTAAAAAGAAAATTCTGCAGTGGAATTTATTATTTGCTGAAATTATTTTTATCCCGTGACAGATGGAAATGCGAGTGAAGCATTTTCTTGGGAATTTTCTTTTTTGAGTCTACACTGTAAATGCCATTTTGAGGTACTGTCGTTTGATTTTTTTTTTTTTGGACTGCTGAAGATCGAAGTTTGGTCCATCTCTTCGTTGCTCAGCGTCCGGTGCTCGGTGCAACTGAGACTAGGTTGTAATTTCCAAGCTGAATTTTACACGTGTTAATGCGTAACGGTGATGCTGTAGAATCTCCGGTGGGCGTATAGGCAATAGCTGCGTCCTGGACCAGCAGCAGATACGAATTCACGTAATCTCGATCGGTTGCTCACAGTCGATTTTTCACGACGCGAGATGAATTAATGGGTCTTCGTGTGATTTCAGGTGAGGAAGTCGTGGCCGTTAGGGCGACTCCTGGTGAACGGGATAGCTGGTCGGTGCAACGGCTCCTAGGCGACGAGCCGCCCAGTCTACGTCTCTGTCGTGGAGAAATCCAGGACATCGGCGGCAGCAAACGTCCTCGTCATCCGCCGCCACCGTCGGTCACGTCCTGCAAGGTCAATGCCAGGGACATCAGCAAGTACTTCGACTCGCCGAACAAGGAGAACAGTCCTGGCTATGGCGTGAACGGCAGCCCGGCACCTCGGGAACAGGAGGATCGCGGGAACCTTGGCGCAGATATGGGCTCGAATCTCAGCAGGCACAATGGCAAGGGTCTGACGGGACGCAGGACCCAGTCGTCCGGGAATCTCTGTGAGCCCAAGGGAAAGCTCAGCAGCGTGGGCAAGATTCTGGTACCGTGCTCTAGCGAGCAGAAGGACAGGTCGGACATCAGGATTAAATTATTACACTAGACACTTTTTCCTGTCTTTATAATATCTTTGGGATATATATTTTTTGCCTTTTCGTACGGCGACCTAACCAGCGAACGCTGTACCGAAAGGCAAGAAGAATCCGTATGGGACCGTAGGAGTCTAGTGTATGACATCCTTTATACTCGACTTTGATAGAACGGCATCGTAGACGTTGACCTACTACTTTCCATATACGGTTTCAACTCTGAAACTCTTTGCTCCGAGTGTTTCCGGCGTCCTTAAGTAATACTCATCCACCTGGTGGCCACTCGGCTTTGCTAGAGCAACGTTCTCACTCATGATTTCTTAATTAAAATAGGGCTCGTACTTAATGCCCTCGTGTTACAGCTGGTCTTATGGAAATTATATAGAGTGGGTCGAAGAAAGTCCGTGATATTGAAATTATATAAGAATTATTATCAGGGTATCTAATTACATTGTAATCGACGTCGTTTTAATTAGCATAGTAGAAAACGGTGTAATTAAATTTTAGGGTTATTTGAAAGGGATGTGAATTTTTGGTTAATTCACTTTTGAAAAATTTTGAAAAATTTTTGGCAATTATCCCTCGTTCGAACGATGTTATACTTTATGTACAATGCGTACGATCGTCCGACAGTGTAATCTCAGGTCTCATCGCTTAGCACTTATAGCTATTTACTCTGTTGGGAAAAAAAGGCAGAAAAGAGAAGAAGGCAAAGGGCCGAATTAAATGGTAGATTTGCTCTCTGATTTCATTTACATAAGTGCTCTCTCCTCTTTCACGAAAAACAACGCTTCCCAAACACACGTCTTATGCGGGTCTTTGTTCTCTGGCAGAAAGCCGCATGTTCACTAACGTAATTCCTTTGTGCCGAATTCTCTACGAATTGAAATCTGACCCAGTGACATAACAATGGTTCAATTTCGTCCCAAGGGTTCGTTTAAGTGAACCCGTTCTTTCTTATGGAAGCTTAAACACTATACGGCTATTTCGTACAGGCTTTTATAAATAGTACCTATACCCGCGCGTATACCTATTCGTTCCTTTTGAACTGATTAATTGTTTGCGTGAGAAGAGCCCGTTTATCAAGCACTATGATTAACGCGACGCACCGGTTGCCAGGAGGAAAACATACCCAGGAAAGTCAAGCTCAGTTTATATTAAAATTTTCTTTGAATTATTGTACAGGTACAAGTTCTGCGGCTCGTTGCCAAATCACCTGGACGGCAAGGAGACTCTTGACGATGATCCCGGGGAGAATAATAACGTGATACCTGATACCATTGCTGGAAATCTTGGAGGAACATTGCCGCATAAGAAACGTACGCTTGGCGTTCATTTCTCGGATGGTGGACCAACCGGCACTTTGGATCTCGTTAAGCATCGTTCACAGGATTCATTGGATGACAACCCATGGAGGTAAGTCGATGGATCGTTCACTCCCACTATTCTAATCCTTGATGAGATTTTAATAACCCTCACTGTTTACTACCTGGTTCTACAGGTATCGACAGAGCAACGACCTGGACCTGGTGCGCTGCAAGCATGGAAATTTCGATCTGGTGCGCAGAAATCAAAGTACAGACGCCGTCGACGGTGATTCAAGCAAGAAGTACATTCGTGGGCTCTCGTTGGACGAGAGGTGTCATCGTAGTGCCGATCTTGACCTTGTGGGAGCCCTGCCAAAGAAGAGGCAAGACTCGAAAGCCAATAGCCATCAGGGAATCGAGTCAGGTCCGCACCAAAAGTCCAACGTGGTGGATAACGTCGATGACGACCTGTTGATGAAACTGGTACACAAACCGGATTGCGAATTAATGAAGCACCGTCACCTAAGCAGAGGCGTCGATCTTAAGCTGAGCAAACTGAGCGGGGGTGAGCCACAGGATCAAGGATACGCCTCGGAACGTTCACCAGAAGACGAGCATCCGCCATCCTTACCGGGTCAACCGTTTCCCAGCGTGACTCCTGGTGAGCTCCGAGTTTACCGTCTCTTAATTGTATCATCGTTAATTAAAGATAGCTCGCTTTCATTTGGATCTAACGCACTGTCCCTGCATCCTTGAATCGATTGCACAGCACTCTTGCCAATATCCACGTGGACCGAAATTCAAGATAAATAATAGGACTAGGATCGAGATTAGAAATCAACTGATCGTTGATATGCTCTAACGGTAAAATAAAAGATTCCATTAAGATCTTCGACGATGGCTGCCTGTTCGCAAGATCAAAGCATCCTGGTCTAGTTTTATGGTAGGTCGTTAAACTGACGATGCTCGAGGAGGGTAGTTTGACGCCAAGTGGAAAATGGATGGAGAATTACTGAAAGCGAAATTGCGTTGAGAGAAAGGAATAGAGCCTTGCCCGCATTAGTTTGGTACATATACATACAGCTGGTACTTGCTGTATAGTGCGTTATATATATTTTTATTGAGCTATATACAAAGCTGTTTTAACCTAACCTGACTTGACCAATCATTAGACTGCATAACGAGGCCTTTCTTGCTATCAGCTCTACTACTCTGTACTGCGCTTCTAATTTGCATAACGTGCCCTGATTTTTCATACCGCCTATGTACAAGAAAATTGTTTTACGCTCTTTTAATCATACCAGTAGTTGGCTACGCCAAGTGTATGCATGTATGTACGTTCACCCTCGTCGCTCAAGTACACACTCGAACGTACTCGCAGAATACGGCCGCGCCGTGGCTACGTGTAAGCCACCTTCTCTTAAAGTCACACACGCGACACGTTCGTTAAGTGCGAAATTCGAGTTCTCGTATTTTCTCTTGAGCCCGTAGCTATGCAATTCCTTTAAAGCATGGCAGTCTGCCTATTCGACGTGGGTCCGTTCCGGAATTCAGCCTTTGATCACAGCCTTTTTGGATGTGCTCCAAAAGAGCGGGGTCGAAGGGGTGAAAAAAAGGGGTTAGAGAATACAAAGAGGAAACTTGATGAAAAGGCATTATAAACTTGAAATATTTTTATTAAGAAACTCGATATCGTTTTTGCTTGCTTTGTAAGAAAAATTCGTCTTTTTTTTTTGTTTTTTTTTTTTTTCAAAAATATTGACTTTTAGCACGTATCGTTCCTGCGTATTCATTTAACGTTTTCCTTGTACCGAGTACGTATGCGTTACTTTGATGGGAGAACGGAGGTCGTAGATTCGGTATCAGAAAATTGAAAGCTGATCCCTGGGATATATCGGCTATGGGAAAGTGGAATTGATATTTAAATTTTACCTTTCTCCCATGTAATCGGGAATTCCGCGGGATTTTCCACGCGTATCACCCTTGGAAATTATTGCGTATAATTGACTCGACCGGGTACGCTCAAAGTAATCCATGATCGCTTTACGAGTAGCGACCTATTGTTCGATTCTGATATGATGACGTATGTAAAAAAAAAAGTCAAAATAATGCCCAACCCTTATTTATAAGAAAATTTTCAGACGACCCATAAGGGTTGATTTTGACTGCGATTAGGACTCGTTACACGAATACGCGATATCATTCGCGAAGCACGACCCCAATTAAACGAAGCAGCACAATCGTCATCATGTAAATGCAAAATGTATACCGCAACTCAGTCAACCGCGAAAAGTGTTATATGCAAATTTCGGGTAAATACAAACGTGCCAATGTGCATGCCTACATTCTGCAATACATACGTACTACAGTTGACTAGTATATACAACGGCTGTACGATTTATGTATATTACGCTGTTATCTACTCGCTCGGTAACTCACGCGAAACATGCTCAGGTCAACGTTGACCGTCCAAAACTTTGCCTACTTACTCTCCCGATTATTCCCAGAGTACGGAATCGCGCCGAATGCCCGTCGACTTTAGCTGCATGCGAATGGCTATGACGAGAATGCGAAATATTGAATATCGAATTTAGCTTGCGACAATCTTAGGGGAATAATAATTAAATTTTCCGCCTGTAAACTTGCTTGGATTATTAATATAAATTCGCTGTAACGAACGAGCGGATCTCTTGAGCGCCGAGCTTTACGGTTGTTAAATGTTACAGTCGGTGGTAGTCGGTATGCGTGACTGTTGCGTGCTGATGGTTGCATCACAAACGGGTGTAAAATTCGCCAACATGCGATGCGTGTAGCGTATTAGCTTGGAAGTTGGCATTAAACGTTCTAATAATACAGAGAGCGAGTTGCCGCTTCGTTAATCTCCGGGCACGAGCGTAATATTCGCAATCCTCGCGAATCTGTATTGCGCACCGCTATCTAAGATACACTGATTGTCTCGAGCAAAGGATATATCGTGTAAATTTATTACAGCAATTTATGCATGCCCAGGGACTGACAGAGGCAGTGTCACTGCCGTTTTTTTTTTTGCGACAAGTCATAATTTCAAAATTATTTTTCTTACCGTTTCTTATCTTAGGCGAAATTGAAACTCTCGGGAATCGTTGATTAGCCCTTCGAATATCGCGGGACGGTTTATAGTCGCTTTGAAAGTGCCGCGTAAGTAGATGGCCGAGAGTCGCGCAGTGCGCATGCGCGGGCAAATAGGTTCGAGGATATGTGCTGGACCGATGCCGTGTTGGCAAAATCGTTGTGGCTTGTAGGTTAAGGGGATATGGAATGGTAGGAGAAAAGTTGTGGGTGGGTGGCGGAGCACTCTCAAGAGTGTCCGGGAGGGGGTAGTGTCTGCTGACGTAAGGGGGGCTTACACAAGATTTATTGCGTTATAGATTATGCATATATAAAAGTTTTCCTCGTCCTACAACGCTGGCGCGAAACACGCTTTATCGGACAGACCTTTGGGAATGCCCGAGAACACCCAGCATCTACTATCCAGGACTACCCAGGCGCTCTTCTTGCGGGAGACTCTTTTTTTTTTTTTTTTTTTTTTTTT